GGGGGGGGGGGGAGTAGGCCTTTGCTATCAGGAGAACGGGAGGGAAGAGCGGAGCAATGTATATTAAATAACAGATAATATAAATGTAAATATAAGATCCCCATCTGCGCGGAAAAATTTTAGTTAATGGAATATCTGGGTTTATTTACAGAAAACTTGGACTGCAGTTAAATATAAGAATATATAAATATAACAATCCATGATTATTGATTATTCTCTTCAGTATAAAACAGATCGATATATGGACCATCATGGTATAGAAAATACAAATGCAATAGCATAACAAAAGTAAAGAAAATTTCCTAGAGCAAGATTTTTGGAACCCCCTTCCCCCCCCCCCCCCCCCCCCCGCCTCATATCAATTTTGTGCCTGGCACCCTAGCCTGTCCTAGCCGCGGCGCTTGGCCCCCCTAGCCTGTCCTAGCAGCAGCGCTCGGCCCAGAAAGTGTCTTAACATAACCTAGCCCTAAATATATACTAATTTTGTTGAAAATTGTTAAATGATGTACAAAATTGTAAGGAGTATGTTAAAAAATTGTATACTATGACGGACCCCATTGTATTGTAAGGAAGGTTACTAAGAAAATACTAGGTCCTAAGCTATCTTAACTAGAGGTACGCTAGGTGCACTGTAGTCCTGTATTCACCATACAACAATAACATCCAACCAACCCGCCATCTTTCAACCAACTGTTTTAAGATTCACCTATAACTAACAAAAGACACAAAAACTTGTATGTGCATACAAACACATGCTTATATTCATATAATTATTCTAAAACAGCAATAGGAGGTAAATGAACGTATAAATAGATTGTTTAACTAGGTAAGGTTGAGCTTTAGTATTTACTGTAGCACAGCCCGCACTGTAGACTGTACTACCGGTTTCACTCAACTGACAAGGCTAAGAGGGGGATGGGGTAGACTCCCCTCCCTTCCCCTCCTTCTGCAGCTGGATAGAGGGTGGGGGAACTGAGCCGGTAGAGCTAGAGAGGTTTCCATCCCCAGCATACTCCAATAAAACAGGAAACCTTCCGATTTAAAGTTGCCACATGAATTTTTCAGACTCTTTCTGCCAATCCAGTATCGAGTTCCGTCGTCGTATATTCGGGCAAGCAGGGAAATATTGAAACTAATTCCTAGAGGGAAAAACCTAGGATTTTTTAGGCGCACCTTGCTTTACCTAAAATTAAAACCGATTTTTTTTCAACTATTTTAACGCTGCCAATTACTCCAATAATTGTTGATTTAAAATACAATTCGTTGATCCATCCGGACCCGGCCACCCCCCCCCCCTCACAAACCAGCATAAACAAAATATGATTATGCTATGTATATGTCAATTTCACCGACATAGAACAGCGTAATATCGAATCAAATCAGATATGGGCGCGTTCGTATTTTTTTCATTTTTTTTCGTTCATAACTTTGTTCGCGTTAACGACCCATTTCGTTCGTTTTTTTTTCAATCGTTCAAAAAATTGATTTTGTTCGTTCTCAAAAATATCTTTGATTTTCCATCTTTTTCGTTCATTTTCTCACAGAAATACTTTTTTTGGATAGGTTTTTTGAAAAGTTTGTTCTAAAAAATCGTTCTTTCAATAAATTCGTTTTTATTCTGCAGTAAAAAATCGACTTTTTCAATTTTTTTTTAGAAAATTTGAACGTTGAGTAAAAATACAATCGTGCTTGTTTTTTTTCGTTCGTTTGAAAAAAAAAGTTTTTAATTTTTTGAACGATCTAAGTAGTTCGCCCATCTTTCACTTTCTTCTGAACGACACCATCTTTACAAAAATTTCCGTTCGTTCTAAAAAAAATTGCATTGATTCACAAAAGCGATGTCCATCTCTACAGTGCATATTTTCCGCGCGTAACAATGTGAAACGAGAACGAAAAAAGTAAGATCACTCTTTTCTGTAAAGATCAATAACAAATATCAATATGATATGATCAATAACAAGATTTGATTTGTCTCTATACCTACTGCTTGTAACTTCAACAAAATAAGAATACATGTGTAAATATTTGTGGTGTTCTATTTTCAACTATCTACCAGAGAAATTAGTTTTTAAAAACCCTTAAATATGAGTTCTGTGGCCAGATTATAAAATATAAAAAACGTGAACGCAAATATTATTTTTAAATATTGAATTGGAAACTGGAAAGAGTTCAACTTGGAAGGTATACATTAATTGGATAAGAATGATTAATTGGCAAATCATGTTCATTTAAAATCTTGTCTGTGCTGTCTGTCTGTCTAAATTACATTTATCTTTCCTACCTTAGGGGATTCATCAGAAGGACTTAAAGATTTCTTTTTCTTCTTCTTTTTCACTTGACTGTGAGCGTGTTCCTTTATTTCCTCTTTTATTATGGACGGGGGCTTCTTTTTTACTGAATATAAAATAAATTATCAAAACACTAAACAGACAAAATTGAAAAGTTTGGATTTTAATAAATAAGATTGATTCTTAATTAGCATCCGTACAACAACTTTAAGAAATATAAAAAAATGAAAATTAATGATTTGTAAATGGCATTCAGGCCTCATAGCATAGCGCCTTCAGTTTTAGTTTTTGTAAAATGCATTTTTCACAATAGACTAAAAAAGCATTAATCATATGCTAAGGCACAAATCAATCAAGGGTGTTTCTATACACATAGATTTAGTCTGCTTATGAAAAGTCTCGTGCATTTCTAAGATATTATTAATATAAAGGACTTGCTGCTTGTTAGCTTTAGATTTTAAGATGTAATTGGCAATATTCTCATTGATTTTTTCTAAAGAGCTTGATAACTTTAAAATATAGTGTATACTGTATACTCTCGGAAACTTTTTTTTGTTCAGGGTAAAGGAAGTATGAAGAAGGCAAGTAAAATTAAACCAAGGTCCATTTCCTGGCCCGTACTTAATAGTTGATTTATAATTTACATTTTACATAGCTGTGTCATATTTACAAAACCATGAAGAATATTTTCAAAAACGACCAAAAAATGTCCCATCAATGATGTAAGTTAGGGTTTACTTACTTAGAAGAGCTTTAAACGTATTATTGACTGAGTTACATGTAACAAGACCTCTGGACAATGCCTTCCTTCCACCAGCTTTTAATAGATCCCGTAGACTACAATCCTAATACAGAGATATTCAGTACAAATATTAGATTTATTAACAACACATAAAACATACTGAACACGCCTTAAAGGGACTGTAACCATAATTTGAAGTGGCCCTCTGTACAAAGAGAGTACTGACCTCTTTACATGGGAGGGTCACTTGAAATTACGCTTACATCTCTTTAAATTTAAAGACATTTTTTTAAATAAACTTCCAAATGGCTTAATTATTACAAGATTGGATATTCTTTCATAAAAAGAGAAATTTTATTTCTTAACTTCCTTAAACTTCAAATTGGCCAGGACTTATTTCATTAAGGATCAAACGTTAGAAAGATGATTTCGTTTACATTTAAAAAACTGCAAACAAAATCTTTTGCCCTCAAAACACAAATCCGAAATATTGAGAAAAAAAAACGAGAGATTATCAAAAAAAAATTCCATTACGGATCCAGGATCGGGATCCGGATTTTTATGGATGCTAATCACTGATTTAATATGTGAAATACATTTTTGTAACAGAATAATATAACTTAACAAAAAAATATTTTTCTAAGGCGTTTAAATGAAAGTCTGAAGCCACACTCCTCTGCCGCTTTTGTAATTATAAATTGGCGGAACAGTTCAAACTAGGACTGCGAAGGTTGGCCCAGCTTGGATATTCAAATGTACACTGGTGGCCCGTGAAGCGTCATTAGACTCAAAGTCATACTAGAATATGAATTTCTCACTTTTATTGGGTGTCATCCGTGTAATTTATAATTGACGGAGTTCATGTTTAAGAAGAGTTAAGATGATTAATTGATAAATACCTGGGTATATGAAACCTGATATGCAGACAGAACAAAATTCTCAACCGTACGCACAGTACTTCCATCCTGTTCATTTAGTTCACGGAGGGCGCGTACAAAAACCTTAGAAAGGTCGCTGTCAGGCGCCAATCTAAACATAACTAGCGATAAAAGCAAATTTAAGCAAAACATAGGAACAAATTCAAAGTAGGGAATACGATTTAATTTTTTTACAGGCCTTACTGAACAGTATTGTGTATGCAAATGTAAATGTGAATGTGTATATATCATGCAAATCTGCCCCTTTGGTAAAAGTAAATTCAACCTATATGAAGCATAATGTCTGAACGCGTCAACCTTGTTGCACCGGCTAGTCCTGTCAATAGAGCTAGGTACAGTGCAAACGGGGACCGGAAAGTTGTATGTGTGTGTGTATATGTGTATACGATTTATTTTTATGTGTATATATAGTATTTTTCAAGTTTTTTTCGGCTTAAATACACATTTTATATGTTCAAATATATATTTTCCAATATATATGTATCGATATATGTTAAGGTATAATCTCTGTTTGTCAGTCTGTTTGTTTTTGCGATCATAACTCAAAAAAAAAAACCTGGACCGATTTGCCTCAAATTTTGATTGGGGAACACGGGAGACCCATGGGAATGTTCTTAGATTGTTTTGAGAATGTATGTTGAGTGTTTCGATTTTAACAGCGAAAATTTAGTTTCACGGTAAAATGTGCGGGTAAACGGCGGGAATAACTTTTAGCAACCTCGGCAGCGCTAAGTTCCCAAACTATGTATTTTTTTTATTTTTATATATTTTATATTTATATTGGATATATATAAATATATACATATATGTGGAAGACGTGTATTAGATTATCAGTGTACGTATTTCTTTCCTACCTGAGATTTTTATGAGTTCCCTTAGTCCTAGACTCTGGATCCTTGTACGATATATTTCCCTTGTTTTCATGTCTGGATATGTTTCCTTGTCTAACTGCATCCTCCAAATGCTATAAATAAAAAAGTTGTAATTATTATAAACTAGAACGCATCACTTGTAGTTTGTTAAATCTGTAAAATAAACAACGGACAAAACTTAAAGAGGATTTTAGACGTAATTTCAAGTGACACTCCATTTCAAGAGTAAAAGGTCCAAGACACAATGGTACCCTTTTAGCCTCTAGCTGAATAGCAGTGAGGAAGATATCGTCATTTTTCTTCTCAAGACGTGTTGATTTCGGACAATATCATTCGTACGTGTAGCATAAATCCGCAACTATTATAAAAAAAATTCCGAGAGAAAACGGAGGTTATTTCATTCATCCTAAATCAGGCAAAGAGAAAAGGGTATCGTTGTGAATCAGGCATGCAACTCTATTAATGAAGGATCGCTTGAAATTACGTCACAAGTCCCTTTAGGAATCTTCCGTCAGTATCAAACCTTTTTGTATGATTTGTTCTCAACCTCAACGGCCAGTAAATTGTATCAATAAGCGTAGAAAAGGTTGTTTGAATTGTACTCGAGACGAATTAGGACAGTAGAGTACCGAGGCAATCAATTTTGACAAACTATTGTTTGTGTAATAAAAAACTAGTACCTGATCTGTCCTAATACATCAAATTAATATGTAAACAAGCTTTACCCCCCCCCTCTCCTACTTATCTCCTAGTAATGTATTGACTTAATGTACAGAAGAGATATATACACTATACAAATTGCTAATCAGCTTTCACGGGCTAGACTAAGTAGGCCTATAGTCGTACCGGCACGACATGCTATATTCTTACTAAAGGGTTTTGACTGCCATCTAACCGTCACTTGTTCCATATAATACGCATTCAGCTAGGAGTTAAGCTTTACAACTTTTAAAGAAATACTTGAAACATAAACATAAAATTTATTTATTTAGTCAATTTTTGAAGGTTTTGCATTTCGTATCTAGGAATCCATTATAAATATCCCTAAATATTGGTCGTGTGCTCAAGATGTACACAATAGAACTCGCTGTAGAAAATATCGAATATTCTAGCCTATCATAGATCTCTGTACTCGCTTATCTCTGACCTGATGTACAGTTTCATTGCTGTACTGCGGATGGTGTTGACGAATACACTGAGCTACACGTTCTACATTAGGCCGTTGTTTCTGATATCTGATTTTATGAATAGCATCTAGTAACCAGGCAATCCATACATCTCCAGTCTCCTCTTTAGTCATACTGTTCTATCAGGATCCGTTTATATCACCGGGAGCAACTCTTGCTGATTAGGTAGATGTCGACTGGTAAATATGTCAGCTCTTTACATAATACACAATAAATAAATTGCATTTTTTCCCCACCTAAGTTAAATACTGATTTAAGTGACTAATTCTCAAAATAACTTTTTTTGTAGACATTTCGTGTTAATGACGCATTTCAATTTTCAAAACATTAAGATTTAGTTGTTTTTACGCAAAAAAGGAAATTCAAAATATATAAATCTCATGTTATTTCTGAACATTTTTTGAACTAATAACCACGAAGTAAAATAATTTATCGTGACTAATTTTAAATATGAATAATTTGAGGAAATACGCCATTTTAAAATTCCGTAAAAAGACTAGTGATTCATGTGTAAAAATTGACATTCCTAGAAGAAAATAACTAAAGGATGAAGATGTCTCTATTGAAGGTGGATTCACATCTTGTTCACTAGAAATACAGGACGAGAATTAAATCGTTCAAGCGTACATTCATTTCTTGTAACTTATCAAAATGAAAAGCAAAAGAGGTTTTGAAACTGCATATTTAAAATCAAATTCTGTCAGAGACTATCCCTGTTTTAAATCTTTACAATATTCAATGATTATAGAATTAAAAATAAGAAAACCACAAAAACACCCTTCTGCCTCATGAGAAATGAANTTGTTGTGTACATGTCAGAAAATTACTTTAAACTCTAGTTATTCGAATTAGTGTATAAACTATTTTGCATATGATAAATTTGCACCCTGATCTCTAATCGTTCTCCTTAAATCTATTTAATTGAAATAGGTCTAATTATTAGCTGTCTTAACGTTTAACATTTCGATATTCTTATAGAAGCTGTAAAAAGTTTGATAAATCTAAAAAAGGAGAATAATTCAAAAGAAAACTAATCAAAACTTTTCCCATTTTTTCATACCCATCCCCAAAGTAATAAGGCAAGGAACGTTAATTGCTGTTGCGTATTCTCTGCGTACATATTGAAACCAGTTCTCTCTGGGCTGTGCTTGTAAACAAGAATAGATGCATCATTGTTCCTCTAGTATCCGAGGAGGATAAAAGCATTTAATTCTGATAATTTCAATATTTTACATAATGGTTTCCTTTGACTAGAATATTTTATTGATTTTTTATGTGGAAGATGGATCCCATGTCAGCTGCTGTGACATTTGTCTTGTGTTTACTTTACAGCCCAGAGACAGTACACTGCAGTACAAAAAATGCGTACACCTATGAAATAACTTTCCTTGCATTACAATTCTTTGCCCATTCCTACCGATCAAAAAACATTTTATGAAGACCTTATATATTTGGTATTGTTTTCAAAGGATCCTTGAAAATTACCTACTTCTTACGATATATTCTGAAAATAACATTTAACTATTGTCTAAATCAAAGTAAAAATTTAACTAAATCATAAGTAAAATGCTCCAAAAATTGACCTTACAGATGTTCACGGTTGACAGTTGTTTTCAGAAATAAGCCAAATGTTTTAAAATAATTTTATATTTTACAAAAGATATTCAATATTTTTCCTTTACCTTGTCTTGCTTATGTTCCTATATTAAGAATATGCTGAGTGATGTCGCAGATCTGAGTTTCTGTAGAAATCATGTTTGAGAGATCCTCGCCAAAATACAGATACAAATTTACAACCTGAAAGTAAAATTGACAATTACTGTAACATTTAAGAAATTAAAATTTAATATTAAGACATTACATTTTTTTTATATAAATTGCTAACAAAAAAAGTTACAAATTTCATATGTATTCTTATGATTCTTTTAAGTTGTTAAAACATTTATTAATAAAGGGACAGATATAGAAAAGAAAGAGGAAATTGATTGGAAAAAAATTGGTCAGAAATAGAATAAAATAATTTTGCACTGAATACATCTAATATTCATTAATCACTAATCAGTCTTAAGAATTCTATTAATTAAAAGATGAATCCGTATCCAGTGTTACGAATCTCTTTTACAATTTGCAATTTTTCTAGAATTTGTCGAGCAAACTCTCTAATTGGATTCAGAGGTTTCAGAGATAAGGATGGTTTCACGAATATATTTTAAGCCAAGACTTGAAATCCCATAAAATAACTGTACTGCATTTTCTGTAAGGAATGTAAACACAGTCCTGTCCCGACTAAGCTTTATTTACATTCCTTTGCAGTACACATTACTTCAGTTGACAGCTCATTTATAAATTTGCGTAAGTACATTAAACAACGATATACCTTTTTTACTGGCTAACAATAAGAATGATTTCATCTTAATTCTATCTTATTTAAATTCTGTTAATTTCGATATTTTTCTGTGATGGATAAATCCCTCACTTTCTGCAGAGAACCCGCAATTGAAAAAAATCAGTTTTTAGCTAAATTAAACATGATAAATTCTGCATTCTTTATCAGACACAAGGTTCAAAGGATACCACTGTGAATTGGACAATGGACATGCCACTCTATATATAAATAGAGGGCCACTAGAAATTACATCTTCAGTCCCCGGATCCGCGAATTCGCAAATCATATTTTTCGGTTCGGATCTTGGAACGGTTGAAATTTCCACGCCTGACTTGAAAGCGAAACTAATGGGAACTCATCCCTCAAGACAGAAACCCAAAATAAATATTATGCTTCTGGCATATTTATTCAATTTGAATATTTGTGATCAATTTTCTTCTTTAATAATTAAGATAATTAGAATAAATAGTTTAACTATTCCAATACATAGATCCTAGCGCAGTGGTTGGAAAAAGTATATTTCTTGGAATATTGAAAAAGCAAATAGATTATCAAGTACAAAAGGTGGCAATACGATTTAGAAGAAATTAAGCAGTTTTTTACGGAAGTGTTTTATGTCATATGTCATATGTCGCATGCGTCTTATGTTGCATCTTTCAGATGTTTGTAAATTGTTATACTTGTCAAATGTCTCGTCAATAAATAAATCTATATTTGGTTCTAAGCGATACAACTAAAAATCACAAGGTTTCGCATAGAATAAGATTATTCATATATATATCAGAAAGCGTATATATGTGACAAAAAGCCACATTGTTAAAGAATCGAAAAGAGAATATGGGAAATTACAAAGAATAAAATATGAAAGTATGACGATTTTCAGCAAAAAACAAAAGTAAACAAAATCACTAAGGATGATTTCATCATAGAATAAGATTATTCATTTATACCAGAAAGCATATATATGTGACAAAAAGACATATTTTATAAGAATCGACAAGAGAATTTGGGAAATTATATTGTAGATGACATAAACGCATAAATCTGCACTAATTTCACGGTAAAGGTTTAGTCTTAATTCATGATAATAATCGATTATTTTGTCCCGACACAAAGATTGAAATGTCACCAGTGGCATACATACAGCTGTATTGAAGATGTACGACGTACGTATTTTGGAGGAAGAAAACTCAAGACCCCAACTTTTTGACATTAAGGCTTTTTAACCCCCCCCCCCCTTCCACTTTATTTTATAAAAATTTGAAAAATATCATAGAAAAATAAATCATTTGACATTACACGGCGCCGCTGTTATTAGTTTTTTTCATAGCATTGTAAATAATTTTTTAAGAATAATAAGCTTTTTTTTACATTTTACTCTACTAATTTGGACAGAATAAATGAATGATTAAAAAATCCACAAAACTAAATACAAACATTAATGAATTTCAAAGGTGAAATAACACTTTCAAAATGGAAATTCAGTTGTAAATACTTTCTGATAATTTTACTTTTATTTATTTTTTGGTGGATAAAGTAAAAGAAGTTAATGTTTTAAAAATAATTTAGCTTAATAGAATATTTGGTCAACTGAGACGATTTCCTATGTTTATATCAGTACAGTATAGTATAAACTTCCGTTCAAGGGACTATAGTCGTAATTTGTAAAAAGGGGTCATGCCCGATTAGTAATACTACCCTTTAAACTTTTATCTGATCTAACATGTGTAAAATATCTTCGTTTTTCTAGCTTGATAAGTGATAAATTCTCTGCAAGTAAATTTAAAGAAACCAACGTTAACAATAACCGATTTTTTAAGTAATCCATGCATTTATGATCACACAAATCTTTTAAGGGTACCGATGGCGGTGTGAATCAGTCATGCACTGATAAATGAATTCCATTAAATTAAGTATATACATTCATACACATTCACTTTTTTATTAAATTAATATTTTAAAGCTCTTCAAAATAAGTTTTCTTTCTGAATATGTATTCAAGCTGGAAACGTATTTCTTACTGAAGAAAACATTTTTTTAATGTAAACCGATTTTCTGTCGTTTAAACTCAAACTTCGTCAAAAACATATATTGACAACTGACAAAAATAATCTGCAAAATGTTAAATAAATTATGTATTTGTTATGCACTAAATTTGTTCATAAACGAATGGCCGATATGATATAGTTACGATTAAACATATTTTTTCAATTTCCTTACCTAATTAATTTCACAGTTTTTAACTTTAATTGAAAATATTATTAGCCATTTCAGGCTTTTATATTTTTTTTGTGAGAAAGATTTGAAAAAAGTGTATGTGGTAATTTTGATCAAAATTATTCTTTAATCAATTAAAGATATTAAAAAATCAAATTTATAAGGAGTTGCAGGAAAAAAGAAGAAATTGTATTTGTATGTATTTATTTATTCATTCTACAAGCAAGTTTGTTAAAAACACAGAGCAGGTTTCCGTAAAACTTTGCATTTCTTGACAGGAGTTAAAAACACTGCTGGAGCTTCAACGGAGTCTGCCTCTTCTTACAGTTACACAACTTGGAAATTCTCCACTCCGGAATATATATATAATAGCTAAATGTAATTATGTAGTTTTGTATTTTAAAGTATTCATTCTATTTGAAAGATCAATAAATGTAAGCGTTCAAGTTTCAACCCAGGGCCAGATGATTGCAAGTAATTATTTAAAAATTGTAATCATCATTCAATCAATTACACATGAAAGCTCATTTTCATGTCTGCTACATGGCGGCCCGATAATATTTCGCGGGGTTTTCTAATTCCCGGGAATAAATGACTGGGATGAGTTGGCATGAGGCAAGAACGGGTTATAACAGGAGGTAGTTTCCACTGCATCGGGGCTATTCATGGGAAAAGTATAGTTAAACCTATCAAATGCCGTTAAGTCAAAAATGCACCGAGTAGAGATAGGCAGGAAGAGAGTAAGAAATATACCGGCTCGGGATCTCTGCCCGCCATCTTGAGATATAGAAAATCCCGGGATTTCAAGATTTTATTTTCAATTTTCAAACCTTTAATGAAAAAAAATGTTCCATATTTGGTGTCGAAAATATGCCAGCTTGTATGAATGATAAAATAAACAAAAGAAATATACCAGATGTGGCTGAAAAATCAATCAAAATAGAACTAAAAGTTTCAGATACTTCCAACTGCCACTCTTTGTTCGCAGTTCACAGAGGCCCGGGGTGGGTTATAATATTTTTTCAAAATACACCCACTTCCCGAATTTTCCCAATGAAAACTCCTACCTAATTCTATTGTGAAATCACTAGCGATTAATGTCCTGATTGGTTTATAACGATCCGTTGAAGGAATTTCACTAAGTACAAACTTTCAAAATTGCGGATTTCTATCTCGGTTTTACTAACACTAAAATGGCGACTGAACTGGAGCTGGCTGGCGGGATATGCAGAGCCATCTTGCGGACAATTTTTGTTCTCTGGAGAGGTTGCGAGATGTCTATTATTATTATTTATTGACAAGGTTTCGTGACTTTTATCTATTTTAATTTGTTTCAAATATCGTCTTTATAAATATCTTTTAAAATGTCGTCTGCCTAAAGAATTAAATAGTTAAGAATGTCTTTTTCCATAATTTTTTGAGTTGTTTGGTATTAAAGATCAATAAAAATATTATATGGGAGTCATGTTATATTAAAATTGATTTCAAAGTAAAAGATAATGAAGCAAAAGGATGTTTTAACTAAAAATAACGATTTTTTAAATGTCATGTTTCATGGGACACCCTGTATGTCAAAATTAAAATACATATTCCCAAAATAGTTGAAATATTCCTTTAATCCACAAAATTTAAATATTATTTTATTCAATTCATCATAATCACAACTTGTTTTCTTGTTAAAAGTTTACACACAGCGTAAGATGAAAGCAATAATTCAAGAATTTTACAAGCTGTGTATTTTGTTTTGTAAATTCATGCTATGATACACTTGTAAAACATTTTAAAATTTCTCTATCTTGAAATAAAACTGCAATAGACACGTCTTAATCTCACTTGAAATAGACTTTTAATAATGCAAATTTGTGCATGTGTTAAAAATATACTATCATGATGAGGTTATTAGAACAAAGTTTTTTTTGTGTATGTAAAAGCCAAATATCTTTTATTTGAGACCATAATGCGGAGCGTGGAGACAGAGTCGCGCAGGTTTGGAGACGTACAGGGTGTCCCACGAAACATGACAGTTTGTGAATTAGTTTAGAATGTCTTCTTCCATAATATGTTGAGTTGTTTGATACCAAAGACAATAATAAAAATATTATTTGGGAGTCATTTTGTAGTATTATTGATTTCAAAGTAAAATATAATTTAAACAAAAGATTTTTCTAACGAAATAAAAAGCCTTTAATATCTAATACAGTATAGGGAAGACGACATTCAAAACTATTTATCAACTGTCATGTTTCGTGGGACACCCTGTAGCAAAAGGTTAGGAACTTTGGAGACGGTTTAACGGGTCTAGAGGTCATGCTGCGTATCAAGAGGCGTTGGAAGTCATTTCGCAGGGCCCATGGCGGCCCTGCACCAACTCCCTCTCCAGGGGGGGGGGGGCTCAGTCCCCATAGACCCCCCTCCTCCCACTGAATCGCCTCTGAATTATATGCAAACAATATACCGGGTTACCCAAGGGATGAGATTGTAAAGATGGCTTAAAACTTTAAAGATGTGACGATCCTAAGGTTAAGTCTCGGATAAAGTCTTGAAAGGTCATTTTTTCCGTTTGACCACTAATTGGCTTCCAAATTCACCCTTATGTCGTCTGTCCAAACATTTTTTCGTCCAGCATGGTTCAAATTTGTTTAGGTAATTTAAATTATTTCATTCAAACAGCCACGTCATGTTGTTTAAAATGGTTTAAAATATTTTATCTTTTTTTTTTTTTAAAGAAGAATATCTTTAAAGGTACAAAAGACATAAGACATAAAACAATTCATGGACATTTTTTTTCATAATACTTCAAGTAAATCAAAACCAATTGCAAAATATGTTGATTTTTAGTTTTAGATCCTAAAACTCCCGCCACATTTCACCTAAAAGTTGCAGTTTAGGAGTAAAATAAGAAAACAGAAAATTGTGTGTGGAAAATTTTTTTTTTTTGAATGAATACTATAACTAAAAGTATACAGCCAATAGAAAGGTGTGTGGAAAATTAATATCAAACCAATTTTGTACTATAATTTGTTGTGCATCATACAGTGATAACCAGAATTTTAAGGCGACTTTGAGAATCAGGTTTTAACTTTAAAAAGTTAAATAACCATGAAACACAGCAATTGTGCAATGTAAACAGACCCATTTTACAATATAAGTGTCTGGTAAAACTATTTGCTTTGTAAAACCATCAAATACAATGCTGTGATATCATCTTCCTTTTTCTGGTTATCACTGTAAGTGGGTTAAAATTGTTCTGTTGGCTGCAATAAACAGGAAGTACAATATGTGAAAATAAAAAATCTATTATTATTCCATCCAAATCTTTATTTTACTTTTCTGTCAATTAATTTATCATAATAACATGAAACTGTATAGTTATGGTAGTGGTACATCTGTAATAAATGCAATTGTAAGGTTTGATCATCTAAAATAATTCTATATTAAGAACACCGATTAAAAGTATTTTTATAAACACCATGCTGTGATTCCATCTCTATAAAAATATCAAGATGTATTGTATTTTATATACTTGAGTTTGGTACATTAATGCAATGTTGAATAATTTAATATTGCTCTGTATAATAATTACAGTGTACTGCAGCATGATGTACACTGTACAGTGTCAGTGCGCGCTGAATAAATTACAGATGCTTTTTGAAGAACTCCATTGTTTCTTTGATTGCCTTCAGAACATCCCTGCAACAATGATAAATATAGTTAGATAGAAAATTGAAATCAAACAAAAACAATCTAATTGACTCAGTCCACTGTAAACTCCGGTTCACTTCAAGTACCGGACCGACAGTTAACCAGCTACTACTAGAGCAAGCTGTACAGGGACTACATACACGTACTGACTGTATACGACAAAATGGGACTATAGTTAAATTTATGTGAAGCGTAAATTGCTATAGCATATAGCTATCAGCTGGTCTGGCGGAAACTTTTCTAATTTAATTTTAAAGAAGTGTAAATATGATTTCAAGTGATCCTCAATTTATAAAGAGTGTCATGTTCGATTTACAACGGTACCCTTTAAACGTTTATCATATCAATAATTAGAAAAATTACTTTGTTTTGATTGAATTCTGGCAATTTTCTTCTCCTCATTCGGTTGCTTAAATGTGCATTGGCGCATGTCAGGCTAGAGAATCCACAGTTGAAAATAATAAAATGCTCTCGTTTTTATAGCTTACTAAACAACAAGAGCATGTCATTCACCTTTTATCAGACAAGTTAAAAGGGAACAGTTACGAAGTGGATTATGGATATGCATCTCTACATGCGAGGTTGAAATTATGCGTACAGTCCCTTTAAGAGAAATTTTATAAACATTACATTTGCTTGTTAGGTGCGTAAAGTTTTATAAAATCTCACAAGATAATCTATGCTTTTTAAAGTTGTTAATTACCTAATGATTTTTGTATTTATCAATTTTTTTCCCTAATAAGTGTTTTATATTGCTGATAATATATACTATTTGAAAGATCATTCAAATTTTCTTGTTAAACATACTTTGAATTAAACATAAATAATTTTCTTTTAACAGCATTTTATACCTTTTTACTTTAGGATCAGACATATCTCCCCTGACTGTCCATCCATGCTGCATATCTGGGAACTCAATAACTTCAACGCCTGCTCCCTCTTCAAGGATCTGAACAAGAGACAAAATTTTCAGGTAACGTGATGGGTGGGAGGGGGGTGGAGGATCACATCTCCAAAATAGATATAGATCTTATATTAAAAAAGTTTTTGTCAAATGTACTGCTTTTTTATTACATTGGGTACTTACAGTAATAAATACGGTGGTAGGCGATTATACCAATTATACCTCTTGAATTAAAAAGAAGCAACTCTCTAAGTATATTTAAAAATAGACTACTAAATTCTCTTTTTGAAAATTAGGACAATGTGTTATGAACCGAATTGCTATTCATGTAAAACTAATTAGATATGTTTTAATATGCTTTGATATTTGTTGTGTACATGTCGAAAATTACTTTAAACTCTAGTTATTCGAATTAGTGTATAAACTATTTTGCATATGATAAATTTGCACCCTGATCTCTAATCGTTCTCCTTAAATCTATTTAATTGAAATATTTTGTTATTATTACTAAAATTAGGTGGAAAAAATAATCAAAACAGCCAAGAGCTATTTTCCACCTAATTGCTTTATACTTGTACTGTTAATATAATCATCAATTTTGTGATTGTAAACTCTATCTGTATACAGTGAGATACATTTATTTTAGCAATAAACTTTATCTTATCTTATCTTATCTTACCAATATAATAAAGACGACTTTTTTATTGAAGTTTTTATTGTTAAGAAGCTTTTATCGAATTTTAACTTTATGTAATTAAAGAGAAGCTTTTAAAATCGACAACTTCTCTTTGTGTCCATGCTTTTATGTATCCATGCTGTTTAAAAGCTTGATATCAATCAAAATTGAAATCGAAAGTCGTCTTCATTATATTGAAATAATCTCCTACCACCGTATAAAGCTTACAAAAACAAACTCTTATTGCAAATAAAATAAAATAAATCAGAAATGTGATGGATAAAGAGAAAAATAGTTACGATTTATGAAATTTTGTGTGTTGAATTATACAGAGCTAGAAATAAAATAGTATTAAGTCTTAATATACAAGTTTTGAAAGTTATCACCACCTATTATTTCACTTGATGATTAGTATCTAATTAATGACATACTCCTACCTGAACATGTTCACCTCCAGTCTTATCTGCCACTGGATCTGTTGCTGCGGGCATAATTAACTGGGGGCACTGAACAGCTTTCATGATCTCCGTACTATCCTCCCCTATCAGAGAAAATATTTGTGAGTTTGACCTATATTCTACATAGAAGAGGAGCCCAATTGGCACCCTTCCCCTCTGGCTGTTCCTATTCTTGTAGCTTTTTTAGATGTTCAAAAGTGTTTGTTGGATGCTGTTCAAATTCTTTTAAATAATGTTACTTTCCCTTTGGGTAAACTTTTGGGCTAATTCATTTGAATTCTGAAACTCCCAAAATAGTTATTTTCCCCAAGTTTTTAAAATTATAACTCGGGTTATTGAATTTCATTATTTTAAGGCTGTTCCCTAAAAGAAAAAAATTCGCACATTTTTAAAACCGCACGTACAAGCAAATTTGCGTATTTTCATGTTCTGATAACTTCAGGTTATGTAAATCTAAAATAAATTTTCATTTTCAAACGAAAAAAATTAACATTGCATGATTTGTGCTTACATTTGAATCAGTGGCGGATATAAGGGGGGTTATTGGGGTTATTTACCCCCCCCTAGAATCCTGGGGGTAAATACCCCCCCCTAGAATCCTGGGGGTAAATAACCC